CAAATGCTCTGTGATCACACACATCCTTGGCTACGACACCACATGTGGCAAGACAAGTGGAAAAATATTGTGGGCTGATAAAAAAGGTTTGTGGTTCAAAACCAAGGTATTACAAGCCAGTTAAAACCATCCTATTTGCTAGCTCACCTGCATAGAGTTGGCTTGGGTAACTGGGCCACAGTGCCAAGGAGGCCAAGGCCAGTTTACCCCCAGGGCCAGATGGCCTTTCCCACTCCATGCTAGACCCAGACTCTGCAGTCAGAACCTGTAGACCAGGTGTGGGCTGTGGCGGGACGCGGGCAGAAGACCTTGGGTGCACCTGTGCCACGCCAACAGGAGCAGTGCCTAGGGAGGAAGGAAGGCAAGTGCCTCTGTTCCGTGCTCTCAGGATTGTTACGGTTCATCCCCAGGGCAGTGAGAGAGCACTGCAGCGCCTGGTTCATCCTGCAACCCTCACCCCCACCCCGTTCTTTCACAATATCTGTAAAAGCACTTAGGAGCCTTCCTTGTGTGAAGACTGTTTCACTTTAGTGTTGCATTACTCATCTTTCCCCTTCCATATTCACTGTGGCCTTTTTCATTCTCCAGTTTTGTTTCTATGGTCTGCTTAGTGCATTGCTTTCCTATTCTTGTGAACAATCATCTCTGAATTATCAACATGAATGGAGAGAAGACTTCAAGAAGAACAGTAATTACATGAACTGTATTTTATTAAAGTGCTTTATCTATTTGAAAGGAGATAAAGGAAAGTGTTCCTTAGTAGGGTAGGTGGTCACCTAGCTGCCTGGTGGCCTCAGCAGACAGGCTCTGTGTGGCTGGCCATCAGCCACCCACACAGGTGCCCATAGGAGCTCAGCCCACCTGCACCTGCCAGCCTGATGCTTACCAAAAGTCAGTTGTTTTGCTCCCAAACTTGCTTAAGCCGGGTGTACTTATTCCCTAAATGCATAATTAAGTGTTATGTAAACTGGTAAAGAGCAGGTACAAACAAAAGACGTCATTTCCACGAAATCCAAGTTAAATGCTGTAGAAGGAACGGATCAAGTTAAGTCTCAAAACTCTTGCTGTTGAATTGGGAGTGGGTGAGTCAAGATTGAGCATGAAAAAAGAAAAAAGAAAAGTAGAGGATTATGCATTGTACTCTTTGCAAATGCTCCCTCCACTGTAAGTAAACCAGAATGCAAATCAGGACGATCCACATTGGGTGTCCTTGCTAAAAAGACTGCAAGGAGTGCCAATTAAATGGCCTTGGCCTTACACCAAAAGATAGGTGATACATTTACATCGATTTTAATTTAAATGGAAGCAGCTAAGGTATGAGCATAACCCCCCCACC